ACGTTACTAGCTCTCCTCCTGTTGGTTAGCCGTTAGCGGTGCTGCTAACGTTACTAGCTCTCCTCTGATTGGTTGTTTACAATGAAACATGATCAGAGATCAGAGACTAGAAACACATGCTCTACTGAATATTGCTCGTAGACTATGATGGTTAAAATGTTAAAATGTTAAAATGTCAACTACGGTCCGTTAAACCACTGCTGGTTGTAATTGAGAGCTCTTTGATCTTATTATTATTAAACCACAATACGTCTTCAGTGACCAATTAAGTACTCTACAACTTTTTGGAAGTAGTTGTATATAAGTGGTAAAAGTAGTCGTACTTTTTTATATACAATCATGTTATATTTATACAAACATCTGTTAACAGTCTTAGTCTATTCTTTACCTTTACTTGTTTATTTTACCTTCGTTGTTCACGACCGTAGCTGTTAGTTCTGTTTCTGTGCATCAAGAGATTCAGACAAGTATCACTTACTTTGTAAATACATCTGATAGTGAATACTAAAAGTCAACAGTGGTGAAGTGGTGTTTGAGGCTCTTTCATGTTCTCCGCTGTGGTTTGAGGCTCTTTATTGTATAAAAGCTTTTCAAACTTTCCAGTGAGACAATGTCTTTAACAGGAAAAGAAGGTTTGGCTGTTTTTGGGCTCTGAGGCATCTGAAACTGGTTAGAGTGATTTTAGATGGTGTGGCTGAGGCTCTGGGGTCCTGGTTCTGGTCCTGGTCCTGGTCTGTGTATCCTGTCCAGACACACTTAGACTCTGTCATATGAATGTGTATCTACTTTCTGTTTGTTTAGTTCCAAACATCTGGACTCCAGCTGACGGAGACTCTCCGTGGTTCTGTTGTTTTTCAGCCCATAAAGTCTCGTTTTTCTCTTCAGTCAAGAACCCGTCACATTGAGCCTCTTTTTGAGAAACAAAGCCTGCTTTCAATTTCCCACCTCGCTCGCTTGGATCCTCTGCGTTATGAACCCTCCTCCCTCCTTTACGCTCTGCGAGAGGATAAACTCAGTTAAATGTTCCTGTAAGTGCCATGAACTCCCTAAAGCCAGCCCAGTCTAACCAGCACACGCTGCTCTTCTTATAAACTCTTTGATGTGTTTAACAGAAGCTGCACATTTGTCATAATTTATATTTTCAGCTCCACAACAGAAGTTTGTTTTTCCAGAGATTCCCAGTTTTACTCAGTTGTTTTTGTATCCAGAGTTTCTGCTGTTCACCTTCAGCAGGACCACAGTCATCATCGGGGGGGGGGGGGGGGTTTAAGGGAGGGTTCTCTGGGAAATAAGGGTTCCAAGGGTTCTTCCTACCAAGAACCCTTTGATTCTGAAGCAAGGCTTCATTGTGAGGTTACGGGTTCCATTGAGAACCACTTTTTGGAAGAAAGGGTTCTTGAAAGGATGGATCCTCCCAGCTCACACCCTCAAACACTGTGATGGAGAACCAGGATTGTTGTGGGTCGAGCTGCACCACATCAGCGCTGGTCCTTCAGGGTTCTAGATGGAAACCTTTGGAATATAAAAGTGTTTTCAGTAGAACCACCTGAGCGGGTTCTGCATAAAACTCATTATTTAAAGATATTCTGGGGAAGTGTTGTAGTTTTAAAGTCGGAGAGGGTTCAAAGGAAATATTAATAACTGTGTGTGGGGGGTTGCTGTTAATGGCCGGGCTGGGAGGGAGGAGGTCTCTGAAGTTAAGGAAGTGGTCGGTTAGTGAAGCACCATGCTGTGGCGACGGCTCCTGTCTGAACCTCACTCACTGAGCTGGGGTCAGAGGTCAGAGGTTAATCCACAAACTGGTTTCATTGTCTGTCAGAAGGACTTCAGAGAGGAAGCCCCGACACCTGAACACACACCAGCAGAGTTTATGAACAGCTTCTAAACATTTACACTTCTTCTGTAGCCGACGCAGTGAAATCCTCTGAAGACGAAGAGGACGACGAGTCGTCCTCAGAGGAAAACAAGCTGTCCAACGAGCTGTCGACGAGCACCGAGAAGCTCCAGAGTAAGCCTCCGACTCCTCTTTTCTCTTTTTCTGTTTGCTTGTGATGATGAGAACACGGACTCTCCGCAAACACAAGTGACGTTGATGTTTTTGTGCCTCGTCAGTGTCGGCGCCGCAGTGGGTGATGCCGGACAAGATGGAGAAGCAGCTCCATGCCGTCCCCGCCAGCAGGACGGTGAAGTTTCGTTGCCAGGCGACAGGAAACCCGGTTCCCTCCCTGCGCTGGTACAAGAACGGGAAGGTGTTCAGGAAGGACCAGAGGATCGGAGGGTTCAAGGTGAGGTTCAGAGAACAGCAGGAGTCCAACCGCTCGTATCTGTGAGTTCTGTTTTTATTCGTTATCTCCTCGATCTTTCAGATCAGAGACCACATGTGGACTCTGATCATGGAGTCTGTGGTTCCGTCGGATAAAGGGAACTACACCTGTGTGGTGGAGAACGAGTACGGGAGCCTCAAACACACCTACCTGCTGGACGTAGTTGGTAAGAAGTTACACCTGTGAGATTTGGACTACATCCATCTCCACGTCCTTTTTATAAAGATCTCCGTCCACACTGAAACATGGGTCAAGACCAAGACTTTGAAGGGTTAAGACTGAGTCGAGACCAAGACCAGAGTGTCTAGGGACAGAGACAAAACCAAGACCATGAGAGGTTGAGACCAAGGAAAGACCAAGACCAGAGTGTCTCCAGACCAATTCAAGACCACAACTTTGAGTGGTTGAGGTTAAGCAAAGACCAAGACCGGAGTGTCTTGAGATCGAGACAGGGGTAGATTCCGAGGCGAGGCCTTCAAAAGGACCTTTCTGTCTCTGTTGTCAGAACACCAAGAAGCTCTGTGTTTGGATGAGAGAACAGGAGAAACCTGTGGACTAAACTAACCCTCATGATGGTGAATGAACGTGTTGCTGGTTTACCTCTAACTCGTTCTTGTTAAACTTTCCTCTGCAGAGCGTTCTCCTCACAGACCGATCCTGCAGGCCGGTCTGCCGGCCAACCAAACGGCGGTTGTCGGTCGTAACGTGGAGTTTGTGTGTCGAGTGTTCAGCGACCCGCAGCCTCACATCCAGTGGCTCAAACACATCACCGTCAACGGCAGCCGAGAGGCTCCGGACGGACACCCTTACGTCCTCGTCCTCAAGGTTGTTAAATTGTACTTATTTATTTCATAACGTTACTACTCCACTGCTCCTTTTAGTCGTTACTGCAAAACCTCCCTTCAGTGAGTGTTAGCGTGAGTCTGTTAAGTTTATACAGACGTTAGCCCGCGACAGCGGCCACAATAGCAACGCTACATAAAAATGGCCGCCGCTCTGAACGTCCTGCTACGTTCATTTAGATTAATTATTTCTACGACTCAGACTTCCCTAAAATCTTTACCAGCTGAGATGTTCCTTCAGCTTTAATGGTGCAACTTAGAAAATATGTCACACTTGAAGTGTAATATGCGCTCAGTACCTCCTCATCAGTCTGTTTATAACTGAGGGCAGCAGCGTGTCGGGACGAGCTCTGCTGTGATTCAACTCTGTAAAAGTCAAGCGTGTTTGTTAGCTTCTCTCGCGGTGTCTTCTCACTGCATGAGCTCTGTTTCATGAGTCTCTGACTGAGCCGATTCAAACCACATCTGTCAAGTGTTGTGGACTCGTGATGAAAGACGCTCGTGTGGTTTGTTGTGGCACGGATTACTATCATCTACCTCTTACAGTCACAATGAAAAGAGACGGGGGGGGTATTACGTAATTCAACTTTACCAGAGTTTATGTGGTTCCTGTAAAGTTGTGACTAGTATTTTCTTGCAGATTTATGACTTTATAATATAAAATAATGTTCCCATATTTATAGTAAATATAAATATTTTTTTTCTTGTATATTTTCTTGAATTTATTTTTGTAAATTTACAACTTTATTCTCAGAGAATACCAGAGTCAAACATACAACTTTAATTTACATTTTGTTGTCTGTGTATCGCCCCTCTCACGGTCTGGTGTCTGCTGGAATTCTTTGTTTTTCTTCTCGTCAAAACATCCTGTAAACCACCATGAACACAACATCTGTACTTTACTTTGAGTCATCCTCACGTACACACCGCTGCCACGAATACTCACCAAATGTGGATTAATCCGCCGCTGGAAATAGTACCCAAGCAGTGCACAGTTCCTCCTGTTGTATATGTGTGTGTGTGTGTGTGTGTATATATATAGTCTGTGTTTGTAAAGATGAACGTCTTTAGTAGGAAGCTGAAGCTGAGAGCCACAGACAGGAAGTCAGTTGTTGCATTTTAGTTTTTATTTCTCGTGACATTTCTGTGTTTCTCTTCCAGACGGTGGGTTTGAACACGACCGATAAAGAGATGGAGGTTCTGACTCTGAGGAACGTGACTCTGGGCGATTCGGGCGAGTATACCTGTCTGGCGGCAAACTCCATCGGCGTCTCTCATCACTCGGCGTGGCTCACCGTCGTCGACGGTACGGTACGACATTCTGGAGCTCGTCCTGCAGGAACCGTCCACCATATTGATTTGCTCTCGCTCGCTCTCTCTCTCTCTCTCTCTCTCTCTCTCTCTCTCTCTCTCTCTCTCTGGTCGCAGACCTGCCTCCCGCCCCGCTGCACTCTCAGACGTACCTGGAGATCTTCATGTACTGCCTGGGCTTCTTCATCATCATCATCCTCACGGCCACTGCGGTCGTCTGCAGACTCTGCTGCGCCCCGAAGAAGAGCGACTTCAGCAGCCAGCTGGCCGTCCAGAAGTTAGCCAAGAGCCTCCCTCTGAGGAGACAGGTAGCGTCCTCTCTCTGGCTTGTTCCACTTCCTGTTCATTACTGCTGACTGGAGTAAAACCAGCAGACCCGACATCACCACAGAGATCACATTAACATCAGGACTAACTACACTTTGTCTGACACTATCTGTTTAATACAAAACTCTGGGGTTAAGATCTCATTATAAAGTATTTCACATGCGTATATTTTCAATAACACAAGCAGAAAACAAGGTTGTGATTTATCAAACATGTATCTCTTCTAGATGTCTGCTTTACTTGTTCAAGATTAAATGAGGTGATAACGGTCAGCAACGTTAGTTGAAAGCAAATCAACTCTTCTCATGATTTATAGATCATTTTTGTAAAAGTTGGTTCCCAGAAGAAGGAGTTCTGGAAACACAGTTTTAAAACACCAACATTACTGTTTCTGTCAATGGAGTCTTGTGTCTTTGATGAAAACACAAAACAACAGAGTCTCTCCTCCCTCTGCAGGTGTCGGTCGAGTCCTCGTCCTCCCTCCAGTCGGGGATGTGTTTGATGCGTCAGTCTCGTCTCTCCAGCGGCGCCACCACCATCCTGACGGGAGTTTCGGAGTACGAACTCCCCTACGATCCCGCCTGGGAGCTTCCTCGTGACAGGTACGACATTCTGCAGGTTCAACTCTACTGGAGAGCTTCATGTTTCTGTTACACCCAGGAGACAACCTCCAAAGCTTCATGTGTTGAAGCTGCATTCTCTCTAGTGTCCAGCAGGGGGCGACTCCTCTGGTTGTATAGAAGTCTATGAGAAAATGACT